TAAAGTGGCTAGTATAGGTACATTATAGAACAGGTTTTAGTAAGAAAATTAATTACAATTATAATGTATCTATGGTCCAGTAAAAGATGCATTTAAAACATAGGCTTTCTCAGCCTAGGAAATGTTTATTTAATAATTGAAAGTTATTAGTTTTCTCTCTTCAAATAGTTTCAAGTATTAAATAGCCAAATCAGCAAGGCTCAAACAAGATTTCACTTCTCTATTGAATTCATGTACTCTTAGCTCACCCAAGCACAAAACAGCTAATACTGTCACGTTTGAAAAGCTTTTATGCTGAATTTGACACAAAAACAATCACAGAGCAGACAAAAAAAAGGAATTTCTTTTTCAAAAGCTGAAAGGAAAAAAATAAATGGAAAGTGTGAGCCTGGCCAAATCTTTATTGCCACTGGAAAAGAAAGTTCAAAATGATCAAGAAATAATTTTTCCAAAGATCCCATGGCCAAGTTTGGTCCAATCTTAGTCTCGTGAATAGGCTGTGAACTCAACCAAGTTTGTGCCAAATGAAATAAATCCTAGTATGATCAGTGCTGGCAGTTTCAGGTGCCATTGTCATACTACTTTTGTTTTTTTTTTGAAAGTTCTAAATGGCATCATCTCTCACAGGATTCGGTTATGACTTATTGGCAGGAATTTTGTTTAGAGTGGAATCCTGTGTGTGTGGTGTGTGTGTATGTGTGTGTGTGTGTGTGTGTGTTTTGCTTTGGGGGGTGGTTTTGTAACGTCTGTCTCTTGAAAGAGAACATATTTATACCTATCCTAAGAAGATCAAATAAGATATGGTTAATTAAAATAATCTGAATATCAAATGCACATCTTTATTTCATGAAATTAATGGTTTATACAGCAAAGAGAGAATATACAAATAGATTATGTATAGTTTATCATAACTCACTAATTAGTAATTCGTAGAATAGACCATCTGGAGTCTGTTTTTCTGCCTGACCAATGTTCTCCTACTGCTGTCGCTTTCTATCCTGACCATGTTTTTAAGATGGGCTTTCCCAGATGCCATTTCATATGTGATTTCTACTATGTGAATATGGTACTATTTATACAATTGCTTCTCATTATTTTTTTTAACCAAGAGGTGGTTAGTTTTAAAATATCAAATAAGAAAGGTAAGAGTTAAAGATGGAACTTATTGAAATGCTATAAAGAATTAAAAATGATAATAACTAAAAAGTATAAAATGGTGAAAAACCATGTGAAAACACTAAACTGAAAATTCAGAAATTTAAAAATTTATACACATTATTAGAATAATTGATCTTGTACATAATAGTTAGAAGAGATTAAAGATTAAAAATCAATAATGCATCTAGATTCCTGGGAATCAGGATCAGTAAAATTCAAGTATGGTGATTTATCTAAAGTACTAAAAAGATTCCTGGGCATGGTGGCACATGCCTTTAATCCTAGCACTCAGGAGTTGGAAGCAGTTTGGATCTCTGCATGGTTGAGGCTATGCTGGTCTACAAAACAAGTTCCAGGAAAGCTAAGGCTGTTAATCCAGAATAACCTTGTCTTGGAAAAACAAAAAAATGTATAAAAAATCATAGAATTGTGTTAGCATTTGAAATCATTGACAGCTATTTACTAAGAGTAGATTGGGTCATCATCAGTAACGGATGCTGACTGCTATATCCCTGTCTCTCCAAATTCAATAAGGTTCTGGGAAGACTAGTAGGTTCTCTTGGAATCAGAGGAAAACAAATGCAGCAATACTTTATTAGGAGAGAGACGTATTCAGTGTCTGCTTATATCTATTTCCAAAAAGTTTCCTTAAAAGAAAATTGTAAATGATAAGCCTGCCAGCATCTCTCAGTAGTGAAAATACATTTAGCTATGAAAAGATCTTTTATTTGTTCCCCAACTTTGCAAAGAATTAAAAATAGTTGTTTTGTCTAAATGAATATAATTTGAAATTCTCTTCAGTTTTTCAGAGTAGAAAATACTGTGAAAAATTTCCCATATTATACTATTGAGTTACTTTCTTTTTCAGCCAGTTGGCTTATCAATAATATCTTATTTGTCAATGAATAATTACTGTTGTCTCTTTCTGAGCCTCATAATGTTTTGTCAATATGTTTTATTTACACAGAAAGTGAGTGGAGAAGAAATTGTGTAAAGTCATCTACAATAATAATTGATACAAATTCCTATTCCATATCCCTATTCCTATCAAAAGAAGTTACTGAACCTCATTAGCCTTCAGTCTTCTCATACCGCTAAAAGGGGGCACTTTTCATAAGAAGTGACTGAGAGAACTAATTAAAAGAATGAATTTAAAATGATTAACGGTTTTTAGCATACAAAAAACACTCAACTTTAGTATTAGAAATAGGATTGTTTTGCTATTCATTTATACCATTCAGGGGAGGAGGTGGGTAAGAATATGTTTTGGCTATCATTATCGTCTGCCTTATGACCATATATTTACTGTGACAGCCATGCCTATCATTAAATTTCTAAAAGAAGACAATACCTACAATCTGTATAGATAATGGCTGAGTCATTTTGATGAAGTAGACAGAACACTACTACTCAAAGACATTTTTAAAACTCTTGAACAGGATACTAATTATAATAAAATACTGCATTGTATTAGGTCTTTTAAAAACGTTTGTTCAGATATATAAACTGTTTTGTTTTCTTCTTCTATATTTTATTTTCATTTAGTCTTTTTAAACAGCTACTTATTTCACCCTAATAATTCCTAACACCCCTTGTGATTCTCTCAGGGAAAAATTATTTTTTCGATAGTCATTGTTTAGAGTCAAATATAGCACTATTTATATCTCATTTTCCCTGTCTATCTCAAACCCTCTTTGTGATAATTTTGTACCCATTAAAACTTTTTATGATCTGTGAAATTCGTAGTACACTAACTTATAGATATGACCAGAGCAATCAAGAATAACCATGTGGATTGAATTTCAAATAGTCAGACTAAGAATTAAGAAAACAATTATTAGAAATTACTTATGTATCTGTATCAGGAAATTAATAATAATAGAGGGCATAATGAGTCTTAAAATCCTACATGGCTTTCTGGAATTTTTTTATACCAAAGATCTTAACTTCATAGCAGCTTAGATCCTCTAACATAGTAGCTTTGATGAAGATTGGCTAAAAGCTTATTAATACCATTCAGTGTATCTGAAATTAACTGGGAAAAAGATTTGGTCAGTGAGACATGGTAGAAATACTAGACCTTCCATAAAATTCATCAACTAAATGAGCACATTCTCAGTGGCTTTATGGCAACCTGTATGTTTAAAACAATAGTTTAAAAAAAAACTAGAAAAGCTTATTCCCAAGTGACCAGTTGGACAGAAATTGTAGAAAAAGGATTTATCAGCTTCTAATAGACTGTAACTAACAAATCAATTATTATTAATTTTGATTGTATTATATTCTTGATATCTCAGGTTTTATTTCTCAATACAACTTAATACAATATAAACAGACTACCTTGGAAATGAGATATTTTAGAAATTTAAAAAAATACATTATCCAAAAATATTACATTTTTTCTTAGGTAACATAACTTGTTTCAGCTTCAGATCCTTGCCTACCAGAAAGACTTTCTGATGGAGTGAAGAAAAAAGTGGAGAGTTTTTGATCAAATATCCAACCATACACACCTTCCAACTATGTTATTTTACTGGCTAAAAGAAAATATCTCTTAACAATATCCACTGTTTAGCATTTAATATCTCAGATGGCCAATACATGTAAAATTTGAAATCTTATCATTATATGTATATAAAGCATCAAGCATGGTACTTGATAAAATGAATTCACTTTATTTCTTTACCTTTTCCTTTTAGCCTAGAGAGTGCTAAACTCTAAGTGGAAAGATATTTCTAATGTTTTTTAAGAAAAGAAAAAAAGAAGGAAGAATAAAAGACATAGAAAATGCTGTGCTAACATCAGAGAATGGGGGAAGAAAGTGAGAGTATAATTTCCCCTTATACCTTTTCTGATATCCACCTACTCCCTAATCTAGTTAGAGCCAGTGAGATAAGGGGGAATATATTTATTACTTTTCCTAAAAAGAGATTAATGATGAATATTGTTAACATCATACTACTATAGAAGTATGGAGTGAATATTATCTTTGAAGTGTTCTTAAAAGAATAGAGTGGAGTAAAATCCAGGTGTTAAGCAGGGATTTATCTCACTTAGTAGAGTGAATAGGGGAATTCTTGAATTCAGCCCCCAAAAGAAATTTAGCATGTTGGAAACACACAGGTCTGTAATTCCAGGAGATGTAGGCAGAAAGATCAGGAGTGAAGGCAAAAATAGGCTATGCAAGACCCTGTATTAACTAAAGAAAAACAAAACTAACAAACTTTGTTCACACTATAAGACAAAAGTTAACTTTAAGGTTACAGTGGGCCATCAATTTTCTTCTAATCTGCACTGTGTCTCAAAATTTTAGACAGGTAGGTGTAGTGGCACTCATCTGTAATCTTGAGGATTTTGAGTTTGAGATTTTGTTTCCAACCAGACTTCCCAAGATCCCAGGGACTAAACCACCAACCAAAGAATATACATGGAGGGACTCATGGCTCCAGCTGTATATGTAGCAGAGAATGGACTTATTTAACATTAATGGGAGGGAAGGCCCTTGGTCCTGTGAAGGCTCCATGCCCCAGTGTAGGGGAATGCCAGGGTGGTGAGGTAGGAGTGAGTGGGTGGGTTGGGGAGCACCCTCATAGAAGCAGGGGGAGGGAGGATGGGATAGAGTTTTGTGGAGGGGAACCCAGAAGGGGGATATTTGCAGTGTAAATAAAGTTAACCAATAAAAAAAGAGAATTCTGTCTCAAAAACAAACAATAAAAGCAAGAGTTCCAGTTTTCATTTTTTAAATGTAATTTTCACTAAAAACCATTAAATTTTAAGCTATGGCATGCTTTCATTTTCTATAACAAGTATTTTATTTTTAAAAAGATATGTTTGACACTAACCTTGGTTTCTGTGATCTTCTTTTGGATTGCGTCCATTGTGTGAGGATCTTCTTTCCATGAGTCTAGCTTGCCTCTGGCCTGTCCTATGACCTCTTCAGCTTTTTCCTTAGCTTCTAGCCATTGTGTTGAATCCTTTAACATTTCATTCAACTGTTGTCTCCTGTTCTGCAGCTGTTCTTGTACCTCATCCCACTGAATCTGAATTCTTTCAACTGGAATGAAAGGAAAAATAAAGGAGAGTAAGTACTACGGAAGAGAAGACAGTGGAATTTAAGATCTAAATGCCATTGCACATGTATATTTTTCATTAAAAATATCCAAAGTGCTATGACTGGGATAGGTAGAATAATTAATAAAATGATTTCTTCACTCAAGTGGCAAATTTTACTTTCTATTAAATTACTTGCATGCAAATAAACTAGAATATTGGTGCTATGTTTAGAACTATAAATTCAATTTTAGATTCTGGTATCAAATAACTATTATTTCTTAGAGAGGTACTGAAGGGCTTGAGCACTTACTTGTGAGTGTAAGGATCTATGTTTGGATATTCCAAAGCCAGAATCAAGATGGGAAACAGACAAAGGCTCAATGAGCTCATTGGGTAGCTAGTCTGTCTTACTTAGTGATGTTTCAAATTAAAGAGAGAATTTGTTTCAAAGAAATGGTGGAAAACACCTGGGGAATGGCTGCGGAGGTTGTGCTCTGGCCTTCATGTTCAAATGAGAACAAATAAGAGAAGACATTGATCTTTATACATACTAACAAGGACATTTGGACAAATATACTTGATGCATATGCCACTGTGAAGGAGATTTTATACCAAATATTACCAACATTGTAATAATATCCAGATGATATGAGTCCATGATTCTTATAGGTATCAATACATTTTGGGCACAATATCTTTGCCTTTTCCTATTCCAATTCTTTTTATGATAAATTTGACATTTCAAAGAGGTCTCTAGATAACAAATTATTCATGAGGTTTTTTTGTGAGCAGTTTTTTATATCTATGGTTTAAGATATAACATTTTCCTTCTAGGTATATCTTTGATAACTAACTGCATATTCAAATATCATTATTATATATGAAGAGTTTTCCTGATCAACATTTGTACAGCCATGGATTCTTATTACACACTACTGCGATTTATAGATTTACTTTTCAATCTCTCACTCTACATAGTAGACACCTTACTTGCAAGGCGAGGGATTTGTAATGGATGCTGCTAGTGACCAATCTATATACCTTTGGTACTTTCCTTGAGTACTCATTAGCAAGCACTTGCATTAATACAAGCATGAAGGATTTCTCTTGTCTTGAACAGACTTTCAGGGAGAATTAAAGCCCCAGTAGCAGTATTAAGGCAATGGCAGACAAAAGTTGGAAGAAAGCTACTCCTTGATCCCTGCCCTTGTTGCTTTCAGGTAAAAACTATGAAAAGTATTTTCCACTATTCTCTCAGAGTTCCCTTAGAAATGCTGAACAACTGTTAAAAACAACAGCCTCCAAAATAACTGGCTTCCTTAGTTTCTTTCTTTCCCTATCTCTGTTCCACTCCCCTACGGGTAATTTATTTGATTACCTTACAAATAAATCACATTTTCCTCTATCATTCTGAGGTTTGTTTCTTGGAAAACCTAGTTCAAATTAGTATTAGTATATTCACTAAAATAAAAAAATATCAAGCTGTTTGCAAGATGGCTTAGTTGGTAAAGGCATATGCTGCTCAGCTTGATGATCAAAGGTCAAACTCTAGGACTGATATGGTAGAAAGTTGTTCTCTGTTCTCCACATGTGCTGCGTGGTACATGTACCCCTCTCATCCACCTATCTACCCACAAATGTGTATGTACATAAAAACAAACAAATGTTAGTAACTTTTTAAAAAAGAAAGTGTTACCAAGTCACTGGTGCACAGATTATCACTTGGCATTTAGTATACTTCCAGTAATACTTTGCCAAATGAATTATACTAAAAGACAATTTCAATTCTCCATATTCTTTTTTTATAACAATGAAACAATGATGATTCCAAAGTCAACCCTTTTTCTAAATCTTCAGTCATTCTTATTGAAAAACAATCATTGTCTTTTTATTAAGTTTCCACTTAATATTGTTTCAATAATTGTTAAAACTTCTATTTTATTGTCCTTATTGACACTCATAATATCCATTTCACATAAATCAATGTTCTGTGATTTTGGAGTTCTATGGTTCTAATTTGATTTTCAAGTCTATATTTTCAGGGAATTTTTCTACATTTTTTTACTAATTTAATTTGTGTTAGTCATATTGTCTATTTGTGTTAAATGCCTTTAAAATCATGCTTGTTAGTAGAATATCATCATATGCTTTGAATTCTGTAGACAAAATGTATAATGAATTGAAGAATCCTTTAGGTTGAGTTGTTTAATCCTTTTTGAGTGTTTGAAATTCAATAATTGACAAAGTAATACAAAAAAGTCTTTCTATTTTATAGCATTTTAAAACGTAGAACTACATTAGATTAAATATCCAACAAAGGGGAGAGAGAACCTGTAGAAACCATATCCAGAAGTTAGGCAAGGCTCCTGGTTGACAGATGGGGCCACTCACCCATCTGCAAAACGTTAACTCAGAATTGTTCCTGTTTAAAGGACACACAGGGACAAATAGTAGAGCAGAGACTGCAAGAAAGGCCATCCAGTGACTGCCCCACCTGGAGATCCATCACATATACAGTCACCAAACCCAGACACTATTGAGGATACAGGGAACTGCTTACTGACAGGAGCCTGATATCATTGTCTCCTGAGAGCCTCTGCCAGAGTGTGACAAATACAGAGGCAGATTCTTGTAGCCAACCATTGGACTGAGCATGGGGTCCCCAATGGAAGAGTTAGAGAAAGGACTGAAGGAGCTGATGGGATTTGCAACCCCATAGGAAGAACAACAATATCAACCAAACAAAACACCCACAGATCCCAGGGACTAAACTACCAACCAAAGAGTACACATGGATGGACCAATGGCTCCAGCTACATATGTAGCATAGCCCCTTACATCAATGGGAGGGGGAACTTTGTTCTGTGGAGGCTTGATGCCCCAGTGTAGAGGAATGCTAAGATGGTGAGGCAGGAGTGGGTGGGTAAGTGGCACTCTCATAGAAGCGGGGGGAGGGGAGATGGGATGGGGGTTTATGGAGGGAAACCCAGAAGGGGGATAACATTTGAAATGTAAATAAAAAAATAATAAATAAAAAATAAACTAAGAATCACATTGAACTCTAGAAGGTAACAACCACAAATAGTGTATTATCAATTAAGTATAATTTGATGAATACTATAAAGAGAGAAGTATGTATCACTGTAAAATAATGTACATGTATGAAAATTCATTTTGAAGTGGAGAAATTATGGAGAGATTGCCTTTACAAGAGGACATAAGCATAAGGCTTTAGAGAAATAAACACTCAATTTACCAAGTTTGTAAAAAACAGTATTAGACTTGCAATTCTATTTCAAGTTATATAGTCAACAGAAGGTCATATTTATTTATATTTACCAAAAGATTCACTTTCCATGTCTCTTAAACTAATGTATGCATATGTTGTATCTCTTTCTGTGTCTATCTATCATATTCTCTCTCTCTCTCTCTCTCTCTCTGTATCTATCATCTACCTACCTACCTACCTACCTACCTACTACCTACATGCCTACCTACCTATTCATCTGTCTGTGATCTTGTGGTAAATTGAGTGAGAGATTTATGACTATTTTCAACAATACAGATAGATCTCAAAAATATAATGTTGATGGTTACAGTTGATCAGATATTGAAAACATGTTTGATTAAATGCATCATAATAAACTGAGGAAAAAAGAATAAGAGATTTTAGGACTCTGAAAAGTAGTTATGTTTGGATTCATATGAAGGTGTCTGACAAGGTTCTGATAATACCCTGTTTCTAGAGTTGTGTAGTTTTTACACAGATGCATTCTGTTTGTGATTATTTAATAAGTTAGATGCTATTGCTGAATAAAATTATCATTATATATTGGAATTTAATAAGTAAATATAATAAAATGTTATTTAAATTATGAAATATATTATATGTATAATTTAGAAGTTCTTTTCAAAGTAGTACAACATGTATTATATGAATTATTTTGCTAAAGTTACAATATAGTATAGGGCTTGTATTTCTGCAGATGTTGTTCAGTGATTAAAAAGGAAAATAATATGCTTGCCCACCACAAACGAGCTCTTCGTCTGTTCTTCTGTATCACAAAAGGAGACTATGTAAGGTATATTTACGGGACAATGAACTAGGCTAGACTTGACTTGCCATAACAGATTAGACCATAAAGACTAATCAGTTGTTCACCTATTGAGTAAAAAAAAGAAGTGGGCAACGCAGTTGATTAACTGGTAGTAATCACCAGGGAAGACCTTGAACAAATACATGTAGAAAATTTTAGAAGCATTACAGGTATTTCATTTTGTCAAAAGATGAAAGAGGCATAAAATCTAAAGATCATCAAAGCAAAGCTGTTATTCTGGAAATGGTTCAGTGTGGGACTTGGACAGCATACAGATCTAGTAATTGTCCATAATGGGCAGCAATTCAAATTACAGATTTTTATCACACTTGCAACACTTCCCCCCAGGAGATTGATTGACCAAAGATGTATTATGGCAATACATTTGGTCACTAGAGCTCATACTGTTAGATTTACATTTACACCAGATTCCACTGACATACAAAAGTGAAATAATAATAAAATATATGCACATATACGAAGACAATCTGTGCATGTTTCTAATTGAAAAGCATCTCAGAAATACACATTTTTTCCTCATAGAGGTCCACTGCAGAAAGCTTCTCAACTGATTTACAGAGTAAATAGATGCTGGATAATGAAGGGAAGTAAATAACCAAAGCTACGACTCAGAACGACAGACTGGGACACAGCATGAGTCTTGATTTACAGGTCTCCAAAAGTGTCAAATTGGAAACCCAGTAATCATGCTAAGAATCACAATATTGCAGAAAGAAACAGTTCAGTTGATTAAGTACTAACCAATTCGTTACTTCACGCTCTTAAATGAGCTATGTTTGATTGTTGATATACATTCTTGACTGAAATAAATTCCTACGGCTTTCTCAGGAATGACTGGTATGTAAGAAAAGAAATGATTGCTATTTTGAACATCCACTGCTAC